GAATTTGACTGGAAGCATCCCTAGGTGGTGGAGATTCAAAATTGTACAAATGGTGGGACTGACCCCCCAGGGGGCTGATGGGTGGAGCCAAAAGGGGGCAATTTTGCTATATTGCTATAAACGACTTCTTCTGTAGAACTATGGCATGGATATCAATCATATTTTGTCAGAATCATTCATGGGAGGCAGGGATTCAAAATTGTACAAATGGTGGGGCTGACCCCCTAGGCTAAGGTGTGGGGTCAAAAAAAGCCCTACTGTATAACCATATATACAATTGCTGAGTATAAAGAGAAGAATGCACATTTGCTTGCAGGATGGCCCTGGGGTCTGGCCCCTCCCTTGGAGACATGGTCCCTAGGTCATACCTTTAAAACGGTTGAGATCCACACCCCAAAACTATATATACAAGTGCTTGGCATAAAGAGACAAATGCAGTCATGATATTAGAATAGACCCTGGGGTCTGACCTAACCCCCTCGGGACCTAGTTTCTGAGTCACAGCTTGGAAACAGTTTAGATCCCCACCCTATAACCATATATACAGTTGCTGATTATAAAGAGATGAATGCGCATACGCTTCCAGGATGGCTTCGGGGTCTGCCCCACCCTTGGAGACTTAACCCCTGGGTCATAACTTTGAAACGGTCAAGATCCCTACCCCAAAACTGTATATATACAAATGCTGGGCATAAAGAGACGAATGCAGTCATGATATAAGAATTGATCCTGGGATCTGGCCACAACCCTAAGGACCCAGTTTCTGAGTCACAGCTTGGAAACAGTTGAGATCCCCACCCCATAACCATACATAAAATTGCTGGGCATGAAAAATCTTATACAGATATGCTACAACTTAGGACTTGGATCTCATTTGGAAAATATTTTGTCATGATTGCTTAGATATCCAGGGGAGTGATACAGGCCCTTGGGCCTCTTGTAATGTACACATTTTACATGTAAGCTTATATGTATAGGACTATCATTGTTAAGTACCTCATGGGGAACATTTGGGGTGGGTCTGTTGTTTCATGTAATTTCATATTTGAGACATAACCAGATACTTCCCAATAATGAGTTTAAGCCACTGATACATCCTCAGTATTTAACAGTTGGTTATAGTCCAAAATATCTCCACACCTCACGGCCTTATGATCAGCCAGTGCAGCAATCCCTTTTCCACTGTTCATTGGTTTGTTTAGCAAATTGTATAAGCACAGAGGCAAATTTCACCCCTCAAAATTTGAGCTCCCCTTGCTCATAGTCCATTGCTCAATATATCACTTGGTTTACTTAAGAATCAATTTACTTGAGTTTTGATTGCTAAAATTTGTAATTTAGTATCTAAAATCTCCCGAAACTCTGAAAAAATGTATTATTAATATTATTTTGAAAACTTGACTGCATTTAACTTTTATCATTTGATATTTTATTGCAACTTTTAGTGGAAAATATAATTACATATATTAACAGCTAAGCAATATACTAATGCATAACTTGAAGAGTTGGCATGGCTACCATTTCATACCTGTATGTTTTACAATAGCACACTCAGCACAGGTACACATCGGGTACATAGATTGTGGTATAACACACACTACACATTATAATACCTGGGTGTTACCCTGGGTACATAAAACACTACACATTATAATACCTGGGTGTTACCCTTGGTACATAACACACTACACATTATAATACCTGAGTGTTACCCTGGGTACATAACACACTACACATTATAATACCTGGGAGTTACCCTGGGTACATAACACACTACACATTACAATACCTGGGTGTTACCCTGGGTACATAACACTCTACACATTATAATACCTGGGTGTTACCCTGGGTACATAACACACTACACATTATAATACCTGGATGTTACCCTGGGTACATACACACTACACATTATAATACCTGGGTGTTACCCTGGGTACATAACACACTACACATTATAATACCTGGGTGTTACCCTGCTGTATTACATGATCTTGCATGTACCTCTACATTACAACTGAAGTCATTCAAGGATCAGTACTGAAGGGCCACGAGAATAGGTCATACTCAACAATCTGATTATTTTAATGAATGAACATTCAAAACGCTGAAAGTATGATGTAATCGATTATATTCAGGACTAATATTTTTTGTCATGCAATTTCTCTTTAACTATTGATCAGTTATGGAATTTTTCCAAATATATCTTATTGGAAAGTGTGAAAGGTCAGGGTCCTTTAGTTGGTTTAAATTTCTTTAAATTTGTTGCTTTTAAACCCATCAAATGTTTGGAGTTTTAATTAATTGTTAATGGCTGTTAGTTTTATGCTAATTTCCAGGCACAGTTGTGATTGTGATTTAAGTATCTATCTTCTATGATTTAAATAATGAATATGTATCTTCATTATTGTTCCTAACTTCCTTTCATAAAATAAAAAATATTTTACAGGCAATCAGGAGTTTACAGTACTGAATTTAACAAAGATCTATAATGTCTAAAGTGAACTTCGCGTTAATTATTTAGTCTGGCTATTGCAATTCTAATGGGCTTTCCTCCATATTAACTTGTTTAAAGCAAGAATAAGGAGTGCCATGCATAGGAAATTATATTTCTGAAAACTTAACTGCCCATCATATACATATATATATATATAAGGTTTCTTCTTAAGCAACTCTCTATGGCGGGGGCATAGTCTGTCTCTATCTGTCCTTTATAATCTTTTCCATAAACCTCATTCATTTTTGACTGATAACGATCTTCTCTAAACTTGGTCCCATCTGTTTTTGGCATTTCAATCTTGTCTTGAGATCCCCTTCCTTGGTTTTTGACCAATCTGTTTGAAAACTACCAGGCTTTACCATGATATGTAGTTCTGCTTTCATTTTGAAAAGTTTGATTTAATGATTATAAAAAGCATTATTGCCCTATTTCTTTTCCCAGCATTTTAATAATATTTTTCCCGGAGATTTCCTCCTTCAGTTTTTGAAAAAGCAGATTGCAACACCAATGTTGCTTTATTGCTACCACCTGTTGGTTCAAAACTTCATTTGACAGATTTTAAACTGCTAATAACAAATTTTGTAAGGTCAAAGTGGCAAAATAATTGGAATCAATGAGTATAAAGCAAGTTACACTCTATAGATCTGGTAATTGGCAAATAGTATATATCCTAGCTATAGAGAAAGCCCCAGAGACAAGATTGACCTTGCTCGTCTACAGATAGATCTTAATACATGAACCATTCTTATTAACTGAGGCACGAAGACCAGTCTCAATGCATAGCATGTTACAAACAATTTGTAGTTAAACACTTATTGTTAGAATGCATTGACATTCATGATCAGCCAACATGAAAACATTTTTATAGTAATATAACAAGACTCAAGTCTCTATTTAAAGCAGTAAATATCTCTAACATTCTAAACTAGAATCTTTTATATATATTCGTTCTTTTATAGTGAATGGATTTCAAGCAATTTTTGTGCAGTTTTATCAATCATATAATAAAAGTCATAAGATTATATGACTTTCAATACATTTTTTTACATTAAAAACATTAACACTTTGATTTCAATGAAGAACCGATTATATCGATAAAGGAGTCGGAAAGGTCAATTAACCGATCAATTTTTTATCATAAGCGATCATCAGCCCGTCACTAATCAGTGGTGTAATATGCTTCCTTATGCCATGATCTGTTATAAATATTACAGATTTCCAATCAGCACATCCATTGTCTGATACATGTAGCCTTAATCAAACATCTGTGTTTTGATAAGTGTAGTCTAATCCACATGTCTTTGTCTTATCAACAAAGTCTTGTTTGATACATGTCGTCCAATCAACGAGATATGTGTAGTCCAATCAACAAGGTCTTGTTTGATACATGTCGTCCAATCAACGTGAAACATGTAGCATAAATGTAACATCTGCATCTGATACGTGTAGTACAATTGACAAGGTCTTGTTCGATACGTGTAGTACAATTAACAAGGTCTTGTTCGATACGTGTAGTACAATTGACAAGGTCTTGTTCGATACGTGAAGTACAATTGACAAGATCTTGTTCGATACGTGTAGTACAATTGACAAGGTCTTGTTCGATACGTGTAGTACAATTGATAAGGTCTTGTTCGATACGTGTAGTCTACCATCAAATTAAAGCAACTCATTTTTATAGCAATTTTCTTTGCATTAACACATGTAAATCTTACTGATTTACTAATCAACTACACACGAAGAAAGTCTGTTGAAATTGTTAATCATTGTAAATTGATTTAATTCATTAATCAGGAAATAAATCTTCACAAAAAGTTAATGAAAAAATATACATCTAAGAAATGGGATCTCCCACTGGCTTAACAGAGCTTTTACTTGAACCGTTAAATTGTTTGTCTTTATGATAGCTTAATTAAAATTAACTCCAGGACAATCTAACACACATGTATACGTTACAATAGTTTAAATAAATATATATGTACGTAGACATATAACTACATGTTCAGAGACTCAAATTATCATCTACTAACAATAAGCACAGTAAGAGTTGTAAATATGAAGATACATTGTATTTTGAAAGGTCTGAATTTAAATTTAATTGTAAGTTAAGTTAACTCTTTAGACCTCTAAACCCAGTGATGATGATGCTAATATAAATTCCCACTCTAAGTCATATGTCATTATAATTAAATCTCAATGTCATGCCGGGTACTCACTCACCTCCTTCCTAATTTTTTCATTGAATTTCAAATGTTCTACATAGTTAATAAGGGTGTCCGGTTACACACTTCTCACAATAGACTAATACATATTAATTAGAATGTAGATTAAATTTGATCACAGGTATTTAACGAGGTAACCTCACCCTGTAGTGTGAGAAGGCACACCTATAGTATAACACGTAATGAAGAAATCTAGAACAAAAGCAGTATAGGGTCAAAGCATTTAAAGAACCAAGATAGTCTGGCAGGTAGAAACGGGAGGCCGTGTTTGTTTGTGGGGCTATCTGCCGTTACTAGCCTGTGGTGACTGAGAGCTGGGGACAGGTGAGGGGACCTGATCGGTGTAGTAGTACCACTTCACGGCTATCCACCTGTCATACAATGACACTGGATTGTGTCTTTACCAACAGACACTGGTGTTTATGCTTCCATTTTCTGTTCATTGTCCAAATGTAAATGGAAACATTAATACAGAGGTAAGTGTGTGAACGTCCGTTGTCCGTCTGATTGACAGCGGCTACTTAAAGTCGACTATCTCATGTGTATGTACCTGTAAATATGACATGTCGGTCTGGGTTCAATTATGGCTTTAAAACATGTGGAAGTTGAATGGGATTTTGCCAAGAATTTTAGGTATTATAAATCAAAGTCATGTTTTGGAATTAGCAAATGGCATTAGATATTTGTAAAGACAGGTTATTTTATAAATGTTAAAGTGAATGTTACCATATGTTTCCCAAAAAAAATTTGATCGTTTTCTTGTCTGCAGAGTGACAGTTTGTGCTGCAGTTTAAAATTGTTGGTAACTTTAAGATTTTAGAAAAATAATGGGAAAAAGGTATGGTTTGATTATTTATAAAAATTGGCGAGTTTGTACAGATAGTCAACACACTGCCTAATCTTTCGAGGAAGCAGTCAAGTAGCAAGACCTTCTGTTTGTAGTATGTTGAACATTGAGGAATCAGTTGTGTTATTACAAAACATCTCAGATTTAAATTTTTGGCATTACATGTATGGATCGAGCTATATAGAACCAGAGACCAGAACCACAGTATTGATTCTCTAAATCAACAAATACACCAGAAATCTATCGGGCAGACCACTTTACTAACGCCCTGTAAATAATCAAATGACCAGTACAAAATGAGTAACAAACACCTGATTGTAAAGTATTATTAAATTCTGCTGAATGGCTTGATCAAGCTCCAACCTATTCATGAACTGTGGTAATTGGGAAATTCAAGAACAAAAATTTGGAAAAACCACTGTCTACTAGATAAATATTTGTTTTAAATTAACATAGAACAACTACAATTGTATATTTTAGTTTATATAAAAAAAAAAAATATGTACTGTTACCTGTATTTATGTATGGTGGACTACTTGAGCTATTACAGTATTGTCTATATATCTTTATCTTACACATATCTAACCTGAGTATTGTCACAATGTGTTTATCTCTCATACAAACTGAGTTTTAATCATTACCGAAGTATTTTCAATGCATACCTTTTTGTTAACTTTCTGCTGTCCCCTCATTGATTTATACAAGGTCAAATTACTATTGCTAAGCTATACGTTTTAAGTTTCTGAGTGTGGGAATCGTTTGGAAAGCCACAGTAAGGTAGTATATAGTATTGACATGAAGCTCTGATGAACCAAAGAAAGAATGAATTAAATGAAAAGATAATGTGTTGTGAATTTGCAAGTACTGTGAAGTCCTTTATATACATTCTTACTGGGCTCTATTCAGTGAGGCCAGCGCTGTCAGTTTTCAAAGATCTGAATTTTGTCCCATAAATTCAAAAACAGAATATTGACCCCATTAGTGATACAGTATATAAAAGTCATTTCAATTTTTAATGGTCATGTTTCGCAGGTTGGACATTGTAAAAGGAATCGGACTGAAGTATCTTTAGTGCACCCATTGATTTGTGCCCTCGCCATTGCCTACGGGACTCCTGGTGTTACTCTTGTCTGTCCTGTACCGATTCACTGTCATCGCTTTAGGGACACTGTTTCCCAAGAGAGTTTAATCAAACTCTTTCCAAAGGTCAAAAACAAGACTACCTCGGATGAGTTTGTTTGTCAGGGTTCCAAGGTCTTCAAGACATTTTATAGGAAATCGGTGTCCACCAATTCAATGTCCTCTCTCTTGCAAATTCCTTTCTTAAGTAATTTTGATCGAACTTCATACAAAGGCTAAGAGAAGGATTATATCAAATATTTCTTCATTTCTGGGTGCCAAGATCTTAGTCAACATTATCATTTAAAGAAAATTGTCAGAAAATAAAACTAATTTTCATGGGTGTTTGGGGGCATTTTATCATTTATATCCTTTTTTGTTTTGTTTTTAACTAAAAATGTAAAGGATTACAAATCTGAATCCATGTGCTCTTAAATAGTTAGCCCAGAATATGAAGTAATGGTTGAGAGTTTTACATCAGAGCTCTACCAGTTATATACACTTACAAGTTATTGCCATGGTGAGGCAGTTTCACGTACTGGTATGGGCCCTATGACCTGTTCTGTGTGAGAATAACGAGCTATCTAATACCTTTATGAAGTAAGGAAAACCTCAAGTAAAGTGTTATAGGAATACAAACTGTTTCAATAAAACTGGAAATTGGTGTGGATATGTAGGTTTGATGAATAGGGGATTTTAACTGCAGTTTATATGACACAGGGTACCTATGAGCACGATCTCTATAGGAAGGTTTACCTTATACGTCCAGTGAACCTGTCCTACCTAAGGCAGACATAGGGATCAACAAGTTTATATATCACTAATCTTTTCTATATCTGAATTGGATTTTTATTCTACATTGTAGTTATTGTGACGATAAATTTGAATAAAATCAGTGATGTGTGAATTTGTTCCAATATAAACTTTGAATATTTAAGGTAGTCATTTGTCACTATATTGTAATGTCTGATGTTAATCTCAAATCATCAGGCCAGGTATGTTAATTGGATTTGTAAACTTTTTGTAAATATATTAATGGAAAATTAATCAGGAAAAGAATATGAACATTCAACTAATACAGTAATGAAATTGCTTAGGGGTCATTATAGCAATGATATGTGTATACGTGTACCAAAGTAAGATATATGAAAATGTTTTGAAATGAAGAAATTATGCAATGTTTTATTGAAATGCACTATAAATGAGACAATGCATTATTTTGACATGCAGTATAAGTAATACAATGTAGTATTATAACAGTATATAAAGTAATACAATACTGTATTGTATTGTTTTGACATGCAGTATAATACAATGAATTGAAATAGTCAGTATAGGTAATACAATGTACATGAGTTTTTAAGATAGTATTATATTGAATTTAACAGTTTAAGTAATACAATATATTGTATTGACATTCATGGCCTAAATATATATTACTTTATCTCTGAACATCAAGGAATCAGTGTAGAAGGAAATGGAGTTGAATGAGAATATTTACATGAAATTGTCCATGTACAAATACTTCAAGTAAAGCAAACAGATAAGTCATTGATACACCAGAACTAGGATATAGAAGGGCATGGCCGCGGGCTGTTGAGTACACGGAAAGCTTGTCTGTGACTCCCCGGAATTGCCAATGACACAGAAACTTGTTTTATAGTTAAGCCAAGTAATGGCCACATTTCTGTTAAGTTTGTTCTTACCTGGTAACCTTTGGCCTTCAAATGAAAAAGTTGTATTTTTTCCCATCAACTTGATGAAGGAATTTAAAGTGTCTGTCCTGTCTGTCAGTCCATACAACACATACTACTCACATTTTGCTAAGGATCACCTATATTTTGAAAAAAAAAATCAAAATGTTAGAAAGGATATTATATTTTCCTTCCGTACTGTTTTGGGCGAATAAATAGAATAAATTGGGCCTTCCAACTCGTCCTGTGTGTGTGTGTTCAGTCAACCTTAATGTGTGTGCAGGCTTTTTCACGTGTACTTTCAAAAGCTAAGCAAGGCTAAGTAAGGCGTTGTTCAAATTGTTAAGGAAATAAATTTGATGAATATTCTTTGCATGTTTTTGTTTCAATATGGCACAAAGACGAACCAGGCAACAGTTAAATGATGGTGAAATGAATAGGGGCATCGGAATGCTGCAAGCTAGCAGGTCTCAACGTCAGGTTGCAGCAGACCTTGGGGTGTCTCAAAGTGTGGTGGCAAGAATGTGGAATCGTTTCAAAACTAACGGAAACCCTTCCAGACATCATGCTGGAGGTCGTTCTAGGGCTACAACACAGCGCCAAGACCAATTTTTGCTCATTATAACCGGCACGATGTCACAGGTTCCAGACTGCCACAGCTTTACAAAATGACCTCCTAAATGCTTCTGGTACCCGGTAGCCACTCAGACAGTTAGGAAGCGTCTTCATGATGCTGGTTTAAGGTCACGTAGACCAACAATAAGAGTTCCCTTACCTGCCCGCCATGTTAGGGACCGATTAGATTGGGCCCAACCTCACAGCACTTGGACTCTTCACTCTTCAGGAATGGGAACCGGTTATTTTTGCTGGCGTGTCCAGATTCAATCTTGACTTCACCGACAGGCAGGTTAGAGTATGGAGACAACCTGGGGAGTGGTTCCAGGCAGGTAACGTTGTGGAACATGACCGATATGGCGGAGGTTCATTGATGGTGTGGGGAGGCATAAGCCTTTGTGGGAAAACTGTCCTCCATGTCTGCCATAATGGTACCTTTACGGCCCGGATTTACTGCAATGAAATCCTTGATGCCTATGTCAGACCCTACGCTGGCGCTATTGGCCCTGACTTCATCCTCAGGGGCGTCACACTAGATACTAAAACAGTTTCTGTTTGTTTGGTATGAGTTTTGTTCAATTTAAGTTTTTCAGTGAATACCTCGTTGTTACCAATTTTAAGGGTAACCCTTTTCCTGTGGCTCATTTTCCGACTAATTACGATTTTTGGAATTTTTGCATGCTGATGAATTGAAAGAAAATCATTTTTTCAAAACTAATCTCAGCATAAACCAAATAAAATATTTATTTTCACATATGCCCAAAAATAAAAGTGATCCTTAGCAAAATGTGAGTAGTATATGTTGAGAAGTCCTTTGGTTTAGATCTTAAACTTAATACAGCCATCAAACTTGATATGTGGATACATGTATATAGCGTGGTATTTCTCTTCTATATTATCCAATAGGATAAACAACACGAATACAAAAACTGTACTTCCCAGTGATATAGGCACTGATCGATGTTTATTTACAATCACCATGATTGATAAACACAATTACACAATAATGTACATATCACACACAAACATATAACTCCTAACCTAATAATCACAATGTAATAAACCCCCTTTAAAAAATAGAAAATACACGTGTGCTTCCTGTAACCTATGTTGCCTGAATGTGTGACACGTATAGGTAACAACGTTAACCCAGCCCATTTGCACATGCAAATTCCACCAATAGCGCCACCTATTGGCGTATCTCATATCAAAGAGAACATAATTACATCCTAATTCCTACCGTCAATCGGTTGAAATTATATTGAGTACTACACCATTATACCAAATGTAGGTCACTGACCTGTATTTTCTGATTCTGTCTTTGTTGGGACTTTGCATTTATAATTTGGAGGCATTTATATACATTGTAACGAAACGTTACCTACACACTCGGGTTCGACTGCCGCTTTCGCTTGCAGGTTCCATGGATTGTAAATAAAGTATGAAATAGTAGTTAGGAAGCAGAGATCGGTGACACAAACAACTTAGGCAGATATAGATTTCGCACGTTTATTGTACATTCAAACTTAACAGTATAACAAGACACTTGGCGGCAGGTGGGTTTCTAAGTTTCACTACAATTTAGTGAAATATTCAGTACAACATGACCCTGTCTATAACTCGTACTCGCTCTATATTCGAGCAAGCTACCTTATCACTAATCTCAAAGCCCTCCACGAGATAACTCAACCACGTGGCAATATGGCCGGTGGGTTTCCAAGTTTCACTACAATTTAGTGAAATATTCAGTACAACATGACCCTGTCTATAACTCGTACTCGCTCTATATTCGAGCAAGCTACCTTATCACTAATCCTAAAGCCCTCCTCGAGATAACTCAAACACGTGCACGAGGACATGCGGCTATCACTTCCGCTCAATAGCTTTTCCGTTAACCCTTCTACGCTCCGCCACACGCCTTCATGTGGGCTAGAGGAGCCTACCGCTCATAGACACAACCACGGCATGTCCAGAACATAAAGGGCGGAGAATGCAAAACATCTCTCCTTCAAACGGTATGACGACCGGCATGTCTCCCGCAAAAATATCTCTAAGTTCACCTCGCTATTTCCCTATTAAACTAACGCCATAGTACAAAAATACTACCGAGGACCTAACAATAAATGTTCAGTAAACGTTTACAACCCCGGATTCTGGAAGGATGGGCGACATAGAGTAATTAAATCATTGGATTTAGACAGCTGAAAAAGTGCTGCTTACCTGGCTGAAGTCGGGAACAAAAGTGCTCTATCCCAGAAGCCCCCTTGATTATTTCCGGTAGCAGCCGGTATAATTTTAAGGATTCCTGCTGGTCAGTGAATTAGACGGAACGCAACGCCCCAAAACCTTGGTGCGTTACACATGTTCTAAGTTCTTTATTAACTTTAAGTCTTACGAATCAGTGTAAACATATAACATGTCATCACTTTGTCGACCATCCTCACGTCCAAAGATCATCTCACAATCTGAAAAAAGTATTCTTTGGGAAATTTGACATGGTAATACACTGTCATATTTAGATATGCAACAATGATTTAAAAAGTGTTCAATGCCAAGATCAAGGTCTCTGTTACTAAAAATAGACCATGGGAGTTATGGTCAGGCACATGCTGGAGCCTTTCTGACCTGTCAGTGTTCTAAACTAGTTTACATACATTTTCTGGTTATTGACTTACCGGTAAATACTTACTTTAGGTTTTGTTTATTTGTTCCAGACTCTCGGGGAACTTCAAGACAAGCAGCCCCCGTTACCTGGGTGATGATGACCCTCAAATCCAGGCTTACTTGACTCATCAAGCGGCAAGCCCGGAACCTGTGGGTGATGTTTTTGATGAAGACGGAGTGATACGCCTTTATATTCCAGAATTAGAGAATTACGGAGGAGAGGAAACAGATCGCAGCGACCACCACCACACCCCCAACAGTGACACTCGTGACCCTGGTGTCTCCGGCGATCAAATCCCTGGTTGTGAAATCACACACAAAGGAAATGCTAACACTGATTATCGTGTAAAATCAGCTCCCCCTAGTAGCCGTGTAGGTAAACAAGGTTGTAGTGACAAGAACTCTCAAACCTCTACCCCAAAAGAATCAGGTCGGACTTACATAACCGCTCATAATTATCTACAGAATTTGTTTCCCAAATCGCAGCGATACACACATAAATCTGTATATGAAGTAACCTCCCCTAACAAGAGCGATCCCACTGACAACGTTCGAGGTAGGTGTACAAATGTCACTGCCGTCTTAAATAAGCCAATAGCCTCACCTACAGAAACTGGATTTAAAAAACGGACAAAATCATTTTGTCCAAGTTATAGTGCAAATTCTATTTGTAAAGTAGGAAAACAAAAGGTAGCTAACAAGATGAATTATATTGGAGGAGATAGGTTCATGACATCCAATCACATGACATCAGGCAATATGATGTCCAGTCACATGACAACATCGTCATCAACTCATGTGAATCGTGTTCAGGAGAAGGAGGAGCTACAACGTTTGAATGACAGGTTCGGTGCTTATGTGCAGCGTGTGCGACAGTTGCGAGAGCAGGGTGGACAAATTGACTCTTCTGCTTTCCTCAAGACCACCAAACAACTAGAAGATGAAGTTTCAAATCTGAAAAACTTATATGAACATGAACTCCACAACATCAGGTAAGAACTTCATTGTTATGTTAATGAGAATAGTGTTGTCTATATAGCTTCCAGACTTAAGACTGGACCAAACCACTACACAAATAGTAGACCATGTCAGTAAAAGGAAAGTCCTGGAAAATGATCATGTGATGTGCTAACAAAAAACATGTAAAACATCACCATTGGTGAAGGGTCTATACCCAGTGGCCATATGGATAGAACCATATGATACGTCGTAGTATGTGTATACGGTAAAAGCCTGACATCCAATAAAAGAGCTATCTAGCCAGAGCCATATTCATGTTATGAAATTAAAAATGTAATGAAAAGATACAGTATCCCGACTATCCCGAGTTTTATGATATGTAGATTCTTGTTCCTAACTACGACACAATGTACCAGCTTGTATTACCATACTGCGATAGCCACAGATTAAACTAATGCTTTATTCATGAGTATTAAAGCACCTAGCCTCAGACTTTTGTATATTGGTAAAGCGTGTATGGCATCAAACAGATGTGTTTATTTATTATCAGCAAAGTTTGCGTAGGTTACATACATAGGTTACAGTAAAGGGTATGTACAGGTTCTGTGAAAAGGTTTTATAATGAAGTAGACGGGAAACCTTTTCCTGTGTAATTAATTCTGCCTTGACATGGCTGTAGTAGTCTATATGTCTGAAAGATTCTTTGTTATCAATCAAGATCTCCACCTAAGATAGCAAGGTATAGCAACTTTATAACATATGGACCTTAATGCTATTTGACATGTACAATAAATTTTTAAAACATTCTATTTTAGCTAGCCTTTTACTGACACCAATGATATTATTATAAAACCACATGCATGCTAGACTTAGTGTCTGGTACTGACAATACAAGACCTTGTATGGTAAAAATGCAATATACAAGAGTAGTGTACTATAATAATACACAGTTAATACCAGACTGAGTGTACTGTAGAACAGACAATGCTAGACTTAGTGTACTATACAGACAATACTAGACTTAGTGTACTGTAGAACAGAAAATACTAGACTTAGTGTACTGTACAGATAATACTAGACTTAGTGTACTGTACAGATAATACTAGACTTAGTGTACTGTACAGACAATACTAGACTTAGTGTGCTGTGCAGATAATACTAGACTTAGGATACTGAACAGACAATACTAGACTTAGGATACTGTACAGACAATACTAGACTGTACAAGCAATAACTATACTTAGTGTACTGTATAGATAATACTAAACTTAGTGTACTGTAGACTTAATACAGACAATACTAGACTCTACTGTCCAATTGCTTTATCTTCTTTTTCTGTCAATAAAATGTGCTGAAATTGATCTATCAATACAGGTGTCAACTGGACGAGGTAACGAAAGAGAAGAACTTATTTCATCTACAGTTTAACAAGAGTAACCAGACAGCGGCTGACCTTCAAGACAGGTAAATGTCAGTTTTTATTGATAAGACAGGTAAATGTCAGTTTTTATTTATAAGACAGGTAAATATCAGTTTTTATTGATAAGACAGGTAAATATCAGTTTTTATTGATAAGACAGGTAAATGTCAGTTTTTATTGGTAAGACAGGTAAATGTCAGTTTTTATTGATAAGACAGGTAAATATCAGTTTTTATACGTCCGTTGAAGACGGGGACGTATTATGTTATCACGTGAGCGGGCGGGCGCGGGCGGGCGGG